AGCGAATCCGGATAAACGCCAAGAGAGTGACAGTAAGCCCGACGGTGAAACGTTCGGAATATAGGTACGTCGAAATCTGTTCCAGCCTATAGCAAGGGCTGTCCATATGTCACATAAACAGGAATAAGGGATGTTGTTCTATTTTTCCCCATGTGTTTGTTTCTAACTCTCTCTCTCTCTCTCTCTCTCTCTCTCTCTCTCTCTCTCTCTCTCTCTCTCTCTCTCTCTCTCTCTCTCTCTCTCTCTCTCTCTCTCTCTCTCTCTCTCTCTCTATCTCTATCTATCTATCTATCTATCTATCTCTTTCTCTTTTGATAATGATAATGGTAATAATGATGATTATTAAATTAGTAGACATAGTGAAATATGGGTTACGAATCCGTAGACTTTAGTCACACTAATGATAATGAAAATCACAATAAAGATGTTCATAAAGATAACAAAGATACTGACGATGATGATGATGATAATAATAATAATGATAATAACAATAATAATAACAATGATGATAATAATGATAATAATAATAATAATAATAATAATAATAATAATAATAATAATAATAATGATAATAATAATGATAAAGTAATAATGATAATGATAATAATAATAATAATGATGATAATGAGAGTCATAATAATAACAATAATACTAACAATAATGATAATGATAATAATAATAATAATAATAATGATAATAGTAATAATAATAATGATAATAATAATGATAATGATAATGATAATAATAACAATAATGATAAAAGTAATAATAATAATAATAATAATAATGATAATAATAAGAAGAAATAAATTTTTAAACACAGTGAAATATGGGTAAATAAGTCCGTAGAGTATATGACGGCACTGACGATATCAATAGTGATAATAATGATAATGATAATAATAATTATGATAACAATGATGATAATAGTAATGATAACAATGATGATGATAACACTAATAATGGTGATAATAGCACTAATAATTATGATAATAATGACAATGATAATAATCATTTTGATAAAAATAATAATTATTATGATAAGAAGAAGAAGAACAATAAGAATAACAATAATAAATATAATGATGATAATAGTAATGATGATAAAGATGATATAGATAATAGTGATGATGATGGTTATAATAACAATAACAATAATGATAGTAATGACAATGATAATAATGACAAATAAATGATTACACATAGTGAAATGTTGGTTTCTAATGGAAATAATGATAGTAATAACGGTGATGATGATTAAGATGAGTATGATAATGATACTGATAATGATAATTATAAAAGTAATAATCATAATGATAATAATGATAAAAATTAATAATATTGATAATAATAAAAATAATAGTTATAACAATAATGATGATGAGGAGGAGGATAATAATGATAACAACAATAATAACAATAATGTAAATAATAATGATAATAATTATAGTATATCAATGATTAGATATAGTGAGATACGGATACAAAAGTCTGTAGAGTCTATCATATAAATTTAATAATGATGATGATAATAATAAGAAGAATGATAGTAATAATAATGATGAATATGATGATGATTGTGTTGATGATGATGATGATACTACTACTGCTGTTACTAATAATAAAGATGATAATGATAATAAGGATGAAAATTGTAATGCTAATAATAATGGTAGTAATGATGATAATAATTCAATTATCAAACATAGTTTAAGAATTCTGTAGAGTTTATAATGAAACTTATAATGATAATGATAATAATAATGGTGATAATGATAAAAATAAAGATAATGATAGTGATAATAATTACATCGATATGATAATAAGAATATTAATAATAATGATGATAATAATAATGTTTATGGTAATGATAATAATGATAATAATAATAGTAACAATACGTCAATAATTACACATTGTGAAATGTGGATTTATGATAGAATTAATTATAATAGAAATGATGATGATGATGATGACGATGATCACAATGATGATGATTAGGATCACGATGATGATGATAATAGTAATGATGATGATAATAGTAATAATAATAATGATAGGAATAATAATGATAATAAAGATAATAACTACAATGATTGTGATGATAATTGTAATAATGAAAATAATAGCAATGATAATAATAATAGTAATAATAATAATAACAATAATAGTAATAGTAGTAGTAGTAATAATAATAATAATAATAATAATAATGATAATAATAATAATAATAATAATGATAATAATAATAATAATAATAATAATAATAATAATAATAATAATAATAATAATAATAATAATAATAATAATAATAATAATAATAATAATAATAATAATAATAATAATAATAATAATAGCAATAATGATAAATTATTGATTAAACCTACTGAAATTTGGCTATCTAAGTCCGTAGAGTTTATTGTGGAAATATTCCATATGATATTATAGCCGGCAGAGAGGACAGGAATAAGTGCATAAATTCTGTTACATGCAATGCATT